CAGCCCCACGACACAGGTCAGGGGAGGAGAGAGAAATTGCTTCACCAGCATAATTAAGGGGAGACTATAGGAAAAATAGACTTAGAAGTCCAAATTGGCATTTAGCCAAGGCACTCTTATGACAAAGGAATGTCTGATAACAAAGTTGTCTGGACTTTGATTTAATGTCTCATTTGAATGACAGCACCTTCTACAGCACAGTGTCACCAGCGTGCCGCTGGTTTTATGGAAATTCTGGTCATTAGGCAAGAGCACCACCTACTGGTCCACCAAGACCAACAGCAGGCAAAACCAGGTTTTGCTTAGAGAAAAAGGGAAAACTTTTTTTACTACTTCTTTGGATCAGGCTGCCCAATTAATGTTAAGAAATTGGGAAAATCTTAAATTGTCTTGTGTCAATATTGTAACAAAAGTTAAAATGAACATGGTAAAGACTCTGTCCTTACTTAACCATTTGAATTAGCTGATCGACCTTTTTCAAACTTCACCCTGGTCTTTAAGATCAGTTGTGGGTGCCCAGAACCCAAATACTTTCTGTTGCTGACCACTGCCTTCTCCATCGGTACTCCTTGCTTGTAGAATAGCCTGCTTGATCAACTGAGACCTTTAAAAGAGATCTCATCTCCTCCGCCAAAAAGGCCTATAACTTTCCAGTATTTTAAAACTCCTCTAATTTCATATCTTCCTTAGTTATTAAGTTCCTTGACTTCTCTTTTAGCTGCTTCTTTTATGTGCAGCCCTCTGAGATTCACTGTAATTAAATGTGATATAAATAAACGTATTATTATTTTCCGTCCATGAGAGACGGTCTGCAACTTCAATAGTGACACCGGGTTACGAGCAGCTATCAATCCTGGGGCCTCACCTGCTACCCGTCCTGTGGGATCAATCCCAGCAGGACCGACCGTGCACATTATGACAATGGCTGTTGTTGTGCACAGCTGACCGTGTTGATAGAGGCATCCTAGAGCCATCTGGGCAGTGGTGTCTAAGCTCTACAGAATTTACATTGATTTATGGAGACATGACTCCGGTGCAATACATTGATCAAGTCCTGGGACCTTCCTGTGGGCTCACCCTGATACGCCAACTTCACAGTCAGTGGAACCATATGGCCTTGTGCAGCAAATGTAACAACAGTATTTTCTGTCAGATGAGAATGTGATGGTTATGCCATGGAAGGATCTGGGGGACGACATGTGTCATCTGGGGCTCAGAGACCAGTGAACAGCCCCTTGCTTGTCCAGGCTCTATTGAGAGGAAATCGCCCAAGACAGCATCTGCAAGACATGCATGCAAAGCACGCAATGCACACATACAGCTCTTTTGTTTCCAGTGGAGGTCACACATGCCACTAGCCTGTGACATTCATAGTAGACCCCTGTTGATCAACTTGGTTAATAACAAACGTTAATCAGCATAATGAATTTAAAGGTCACGTCCCTTCAACAAAATGCCACTGCCATTTGCTAGGAAAAAAAAAAGATTGTAATTTCCCTGATAACTTTGTGAATTTGTTGCAGTTACAAGTGCAATGTTTCTTTTGATGCTCAGTTTATAACATATAAAAACCAAAATGAAGTATTAATGAATCCCTGCAAGTGTTATTAGTGGAGGAACCAGAATCAATTGCTATGGATATGCCCTTATAATGCTGTGTGGTTTATTTATTAAAAACAGATACCAGAGTGCTGTTTAAAATTACACATTTGGAAACTAATTAGAAGCACAATATGTGTTTATTTTTAACCCATCTATAAAAAATAACTTTTTAAGCTAATTAAATCCAACAGGGGATGTTAAGCTTAGGGGATGAGCTA